AAAAAGTGCTAAATTTTGACGGTTGATTAAGCGATTTTGAGTCAACAACTTTGAAAATTTCTTTAAAAATCTCTTGTTGACCAAATCTTGAACTAATCAGTTAAAATTATAGAGCAAAGATAGTAAAAATACGAAGTGTCATTATATTTTAGTTGCCAACTTTATTTTAAAATTTACGAGTCACTGAATATGACTCTAATTTCGTATGATTTTTGCCCATTTTAGGCCTCGGGAAGAAAAAAATTCGTTAAAAAAATATTATTCACTCGATCGTACTTAAACCAACGATTTTGTAACTAGGGCCCGTAGGGCTTTATTCTGGCTGAGTTTGAGGCCAGGTCATTTTTTGACTATTTCCACGTCTAGTTGATATTTACGCGGAGTCGCTCTTAAGTACGAAAGGAAAAATCCACGAAAGCGGAGAAATTATCAGGGTTTACATATTGCATTTGTGTGTAATGGTATAAATTGGCGAGTAATTAAGTTTTATTTTCGACTGGACGTCATCGAACAAATTTTCCCGAAATAATACTACTACCTTACGTCACATTACTTTACGTGGCCTATTTTCTATGAATAAAACATATTTTTAGACTGGATGTCATCGTACCACGAAAATGTTCAAAAAATAAATTATCCTATTGCGTGGTGTTCTTTTGATCACATGATTATCCATTCACTATTTATTCAGTTGACTTGACGCCCCTTTCATATCATCGTATCAAGGTACGGCTGAGAGAACAATTATTGTAGTGAAAGAGATTTCAGAGATTTCAGGCCTTCGTGAGGTTACAGGTAGGCTAAATTAGTCGACTTAAAACGACCAGCCTGCTGTCCGGTTAAATAGCTTATTTAAATAAGTGAATGGTTTTCTTTCGGCACACTTTGGCAAAGAATATTGTTCGATGCGATGTTATTCTGAACCTTAACGAAAAGCGACACTATTTAGTAGGGTTTTCGTCAAGTTTCTTGCTCTTTTATGGCTTTATCATTGACATATATTTTCCATGATTGTATCCATCAGTGGGCTCAGAAACTACAGACCTCGGTAAATAATTTCTCGTTTTAGAAAGGAATTATGATCGATCAGGTGACTGTTCCAGTAAGACAAGCCAGAAAATTTGTTTGACTTTGAATATCTTAAACTAACTGGTAGTATTTGATCTGTCTGGTCATCGTTTCCGATCGCGGGTAGAATTTAAAAAAAAAATTAAAAAGTCGGACGTCGTCTGCGGATTTTTGATGACCTTCTGTGGAAACTGTCTGAACTGTTCATGTTTTGATCGATAAATCTTGTTTTTGCCCGTTTCACTTCGCAGTTAAGGCCTTCTTCGGCGTGATGTTTTCTTTCCTAAAACCGGATGCTGGTTTAGTTTTGGTCTTTCCCCATAGAGTGGTTTTCGTTTGAGTGTCGTAAAACCAAAACCAAAGTAATTACTCTGGCCAATCACATAGGACACAGACAATACATTGAACCAATCAAAACTCGAAGTAATTACATGTGGCTGACGCAAAGCGCGGGAAAATGCATGCGAGCGCGTCACAATTGGCTTTGGTTTTACTTCTGATTGGATGAAANTTACTTCTGATTGGATGAAAAGGTGGCGCGAATCTTTTAAGCCAATCGCATCGTGTAGAAAGTGCAAAACCAATTACTTTTCGACACTCAAATGAAAACCGCTCTAAAGTAAAGAAAACAATTCTATGCTGATTGTCCAATTCAATGGGCTCATTCTCGAACAAACAATGTGAAAAAATCCCGCATGACTTGTTCGTTTTTTAGCGCCAAAGTGGTCGGATAAATCCTGAACACAGAATTTTACTCGGATTCAGTTTTTTACAAGTGTTTTCCAAGTCTCAAGACGGACAAGCTTCCCACTCAAAAATCAGTTCAGCAAATAGTACCTTCGCTTATTCCGCCGTGTGACATAAGTTTTTCCCACTTTTTAATCGTAGTTTAACTGTAGTTTTAATTTCAGCTATCGCGCGTGCGCTCTGCGTTAGAATAAAAACAGTACCTTTTGTTTAATCGAAAGCCATCAAGGATTTCTCAGCCAGCTAAAACCATTGCTTGTGACGTACTACAGTTTATAGAAAGCGATAAATATCAGAGCGACCTAAAAATAGCAAAAAGGAGCAATCTCGAATATAAAAAGAACCAAGCATCTTCAGCTCGAAACCGAAATAACCTCAACTTGAAAACGAAGAATCCTGCAAGCCAAAACCAAAATACCCTCAACTTCGGTGAAAACAGCTGTAAACAACTAAATATAGTCAGTTGGTTTCAAGCGTGATGGCCTGTTCCAGGCTCTCGGTACAGAGAGTGAGAGAGAAGAGGGGGAAGTGGGGCGGGAGAAGAGATAGGTAATTTCTTCGCGGTCCCCGTTCTCTTTTTGTTCGTCTCGACTAAATAAAAACCTGTAACAGGCTACAGGGGTGACAATCTACTCCGGGCATCTGTCAGGCACTTTTGCTTTTTCTCACCGTGTAAGCCCCGATCTGTCTTTTTGTCCTTTTGAGAAGGGAGGGAAAAGAGACACATATAGAGATTAGAGGAGAGTTGGGTCATTTATAATCAAACGTTTGCCCCGGGGGGTTGGGGATTTACCATCGCAGACTTTTGGTATATTATATTTTTAACCCCTTACAATGAGAAAGTTTGCGGTATTGCGGTGTTGATAGTTTTTCACGTGGACTATTTTGCGGGATTTTGTGACATTACGGTATCTCTAAACATGTTAGATGCGGTATTTTTAATATTTGGGCCGATTTTTGACTTGGTATAGTCTTATTTGCCGCTTTCCTTTTTTAATTGTGTTGCAGTGTTCGGCGATCTTATAGACTCTATACTTATTGCGCATGCGTATACTTCTACTTCGTTCATTATTGGATTATTGTTCACATAACTGCTGAATATCTTTCAGTGGAAAGCAGATGTCATCACCACAGCTACTGCAAATAACGAAGCGAGTTTCTTTTATAGCGAAATAATACAATATGCTCCTCAGGGCTGAACTGTATTTCAACTTTCTTAAGTGTTTTGCCGAAAGCCACCAAGGATTTCTCAGCCAGCTAAAAGCATTGATTGTGACGTACTACAGTTTATAGAAAGCGATACAATATCAGGGCGACCTAAAAATAGAAATAGAAGCAATCTCGAATTTAAAAAGAACCAAGCATCTTCAGCTCGAAACCGAAAAAAACGAAATAACCTCAACTCGAAAAAAGAAGAATCCTGCAAGCCAAATCCAAAATACCCTCAACTTCGGTGAAAACAGCTGCAAACAACTAAATATAGTCAGTTGTTTTCAAGCGTGATGGCCTGTTCCAGGCTCTCGGTACAGAGAGAGAGAGAGAAGAGGGGGAAGTGGGGCAGGGGAAGAGAGAGATAATTTCTTCGCTGTCCCCGTTCTCTTTTTGTTCGTCTTGACTAAATGAAAGCCACAAGGGTGACAATTCCTCCGGGTATCTGTCAGGCACTTTTGCTTTTGCTCACGGCACAAGCCCCGATCTGTCTTTTTCCCCTTTTGAGAAGGGAGGGAAAAGAGGGGAATACAGAGATTGGAAGAGGGTGTGATCACTGGCCACCCTCCCCCCTTCAAATGGTGGGTCATTTGTAACCCGGGGATTTGGGGATTTACCATCTTAGACTTTTGGTATATTATATTTTTAACCCATTACAATGAGAAAGTTTGCGGTATTGCGGTGTTGATAATTTTTCACGTGGACTATTTTGCAGTATTTTGTCATATTGCGGTATCCGGCTAAACATGTAAGATGAGGTATTTTTAATATTTGGGTCGATTTTTGACTTGGTATAGTCTTATTTGCCGCTTTTCTTTTTTATTTGTGTTACAATGCTGGGCAACCTTACCCACTCTATACTTATTGCGCATGCGTATACTTCTACTTCGTTTATTATTGGATTATTATTCACATAGCTGCCGAATATCTTTCAGTGGAAAGCAGACGTCATCACGACAGCTATTGCGAATAACGAAGCGAGTTTCTTTTACAGGGAAATAATACAATATGCTCCTCAGGGCTGAGGTGAGGTGCTGTCACGCATTAGCAACGCGGCAGTGTACTTCCTTGTGACTATTTTTAGAATGTTTATTGATGACACCTCAGAAAAAAAAGAATTAAAAAAATCATTGCTCTGAATCTGAATATGAGTCAACTGGTGAGGTTGTTGGAAGGTTAGTTTGTTATTGCTGGCTCACAGGGTGGTGTGCCTGTCATTGGGTTTACTGTGAAATAAGGTTTCATGCACTGCTCCATCATGTAATAATATCTTAGTGCTTTTCAAGATCTTCCTGCCTGAAACTGAAGGTATTCTGTTGGATAATGTTCGAAAAGGAGTGTTATGTGTGAATTTTTTTAAACATTAACTGGAAAGTACCACGCATGGCAAATTGAGCGATAGTCACCCATGCTAATGCAGGGAGATAGAATTTCATTAATTGATAGCGTTGGTCTATTTTTGTTTTCACCAGATCATTGCAAACATGACGCAAAGTGGAATCGGAGCAGCAAGTGAGACTGATGTTGCGGCACTTAGTTCAGGGCAACCATTGGACTTTGATGACGACACATTGAAAGGTAAAGACATTCACTACTGTTATTAGTTGATCACCAAAAGAGCTTTGACATAGCAAGGACGAATGAAATTAAAACTATAGACAAGAACATCACGGTGACTGGAAGAGATAAAAAAAGGATGCGCCATTTTCAACGGGCATCATCAGCTACAACAAAATTTAAAGTAATTAAATTGGCTGGAATTGTAAAAGCAATATTTACACAGAACTAGCAAGTAATTGCGTAAGAACCACGAACAGTCACTTAGATTATTCTAGGAGCAGGCTTATCTTGCGATTCACATGACTCCAAAAAGATCTCAACGCACATCTTATTCAGTGCAATGCTTCCGCGTCCCTTTTGTCAAGTATTTTCTGAGGATACAAATCATGTACGTCTCCTTTTTTGGCATGTTAAACAGAAAATTTTTATCTTATATCACGGTTGATAAGTAGTGACCACCTTCACTTCATGGAATTAAAATGGACTGACAAAACCTAGTAGGAAATAATCTTGCTTTCTAGAAATAAGTGTCAAGCAAAACTCAGCGCAAACCTTTGCACTGACAGCGCTACCCAAATCAAACCCTAACGGGAGGGGTTGGTAACTAGATGGGAGATCAGCAGCCATATTCTGTCCTGAACACTTTCATTCTTTTCCTTTTTCTTTTTTTAATTTCATTTCATTGAACATCCTATTTCTATGACTAATGTCATGGTTTACGCTATTCATAAGGTAACTATTAACACCCAAAGAAATAGCGCTCAGGTTTAACGACATTTCAATCTGCTTCGTTGTCAGCTAAAGCAGAAGTTTACAAGACTAAAGGTAATGAAGCGTACTTAAAGGAAGATTACAGCAACGCAATTTACTTTTATACTGAGGGAATAAAAGTAAACTGCAAGGACCAGGACCTGAAGGCTAAGCTGTACAGCAACAGAGCATATGCAAACCTTCGTTTTGGTGAGACTATTTGTACTTTTGCAAATACTGATGTGGAAGGCCGGGAGGGGGGGGGGGGGGGGGGGGGGGAAAAAAAAAGGGGAGAGAAATAAAAAAAAAAAAAAAATGAAAAAACATTTTTTTTTTTAAAAAGGGAAAAAAAAAAAAAAAAGAGAAGGAGCGGGGCCAAGGGGCAAAAGAACAAAAAAAAAAGCAAAAAACAATTTTTTTTTTGGGGTATTTTTTTTTATTTTTTTAAAATGTGGGGGGGGGGGGGGGGGGGGGGGGGGGGGGGGTGTTGGGAAGGCGGAGTAGCCGAGTGTTAAGGCAGAGGTACTGGATTTGAATTGAGATTAAAAGTTTGTTTGAAATTTCGTAGTCCGCAGAGAAAGACATTTCTATAAAAATGTGATGATGACCAAATATTCTATATATATTTTTACCGAATTGCTGATCTCGTCAGGGAACTATTTCAGAACGGTCCAATCGAAGTACATGTCAGTGATTGACACATGATTATAGGGCCGCAGCTAGGTTTTTTGTAACGGGGGACATTATTGCGAGTACAGAAGGCACTAGGCTTGTGCGGGGATATGGGGGTATCGTCCCCCAGAAAATTTTCAAATTTGGAGGCTCCGAAACGTTATTTTCAGCACTTCTCATGAGATATGTCTCGGAAAAATCGACCTCGAATATGAAAATGGCGAACAATTGCAAGTCACTATAACCAAAATAACTAAGTCTAAAGAAAACAAATCCATCCACAGACTTGATGTGCAGCTGCCCCCCTTGCCCCCTCGCTAGCTACGGCTCTGGATTATATACTTAATAATGAACAATTGCGGTTTTAACTTTCAGAATCTAAGTATAAAAAAGGTCAAACAAACGGGTCAAACAATAACGTTCTTGCGAGCGTTCCCTTCCATCATGTTGCCATGCACCGTTATTCTCCCGCCCTTCCCCTCCCCCATCGCATGCCTGCCATGCATGCATTAGCTGACGTAGTTAAGTGAACTACTCGCGAAAGAAGTTTTCTTTATCCAGTGTAAATGATTTTTCATCTTGAAGTTTTTTTTAATGTAATATCGTACTAATAAAAAGCATTACGCATTATCTGATTAATTCACTCAGAAACCTATGACCCATATGGGCTCCTGATTCACTACATTCTGTTTTGGACTTGCTTTAACAAGGTCATCTTGTACTTGCCACCTTTTGTTTATCGTACGTGCTTTGAATTCTGATTGGTTCGCTGCGTTTGCTGTGTGTGACATTATGGCTTTTGTTTTTCAACATTCCTAGGAAATTACATTAATTCACTGGAGGACGCAAAAGAAGCCACGGACATGCGACCACTGTCAGTGAAACCAATAATAGCAGGTAATTCCAAAGATTTAGTACTTTGTCCTTAAGAAACAAACAGAGTTTATGACGTAGTGAAAGCGTTTGAATTTAACCACATTCTAACTCGAAACCGTAACCGGCGGTCTTTGATTATTTACTTTAATTTTTTCAAACTTTTGGAAACTATGCAAGAATGAAATTGAAGCTTAGAATTAGGATCAATAACTGAATTCACAAAGTCACATCATTTCTATCACAGGCCTCTCGCGAGACTACGAAAACAGAACTGACTTGATCAACTGGAAATCAGCAATCACCCTTCATTGTCCTTTTGCGATGTTGGCTGATTATGACAGTGGCGGTCATGATCAAGTCTTCTATGTTTAACATTTCAGTTATAATTTCTGTTGATCCCGCTAAGCGCTGTTTCGATAGAATGGAAGAAAGGGAGCAGGCTTGTGTCGCTGAATATTCTAGGTTTACTGAGTTACTCTATTTTCACTAATTCAGGAGCGAAAGCTTTAACGAGATTGAATCTGTTTGAGCTGGCGATCATGTGGTGTGATAGAGGATTAGCAGTATCCTTTTGTTCATTGCATTCCTGCATCATGATCAAAAGATAGTTTACCTTTGCTACTTGCTATACTCCTTACTATGTTATGATTAAAGTTCCACATAGAGTACAATTACAAAACGTCTTTGAAACATGTCTCGCGTTCAAAGCAAAAACAAATTACATTGCAAATCAAATATGATTACAAGCCCTCTTTGAAACCTATAAGAGAGAAAGAAGATCCAGGGGATTAGGTTCGAATTTACTCCAACCAAAAGGACATGGAGTATGTCTCAGCTTCCAATATTAGAGCCTCAGTGTGTTAAAACCCAGTCTCACCAGTTACACGATTTACCCTATTTCTCTTCCACCTTTCTATCCCTGAGCTACGCGAGGTTCTGCCAGTTCTTCAATACACGTATTTCTAGCCTCAGGGAGTTTTATGAATGGTTTCAACACCGTATTGAGTGAACTAGTATTAATTGCCACTGGTATCCTAAAAGGTAAAATTGGTAATACTCCTCATATTGTAAGCATAATTTACACACAACGCCAACAACAACAACTTCTGCAGTTCTGCAGTTGTTCTCTCTAATTGAAACTTCTAGTTTTTTTAATAGTATAAAAGTTGTTAACTGGCCTATTGGCCTGCTAGGCCTCAGCTGACAAACTGTTCCATGGGATAACACCCTGATATCGGAAACTCTCTGTAAAGAGTCTTGGCATAGAATGGAAATATCAAGATTATGTCTACGAATGATATTCATGTTTGCAAATTCCACAAGGATGATTCGAGTGCTTGTTTATCCTGTGGTTTAAACTCGTCTTTGAACGAGGCTTATCCAGTCGAGGTCGCGGAGAATCTGAGCAGGTCTGACATCTCACCCGGATCCACATATTATAAATGCAATTGTTACAATTTTTCAGGTTTGTGACTAAGTCCAGCACCAATATCCCCACACGCAACTCCACAATAATCGGGATAAGACATCATATCGGGGTAAGGCGGGATCATGAATCAACAATTTGTAAGCTGTTACGAAAATTCTTTCGGGACGTATTGGCTTCAGTTCCCTAAGCTAGGGCCGCAAATGCTATTGTAACTTTATTGTTGATCTGTTAAATATGAAAAAAAAAGTACTGCTTACTACTTTATTTGGCGTGAGCGCCGATGTGAATTGAGCCATTGTTTCACATTGCTAGCTTAGGTTATGAATTAGGGACGAGAACAACTCTTTAGGGTTTCTAGACGCCTAAGGAAGGTTAGTGTCATCGGAGTTCAAAATTTCTAGAAAGGGATAGTTAGTTGCAATATGGCAAGTCATTGATACATAATAGGAATATCAGGGGTCCGAAGATAGAGCCCTGAGGCGCCCCGAAACGTACACAAGTTCTTTCAGATTTGACGCTGTTTATCGCTGTAACCTTTGTTGTATTAAATTTTCTGTTTCTGAAGGGTTTAAGTTCGAATGCCCTTTTCGGCTTGATAAACAGAATGGTGTTTGTTAAATCATTTCTCGATATCTAAGGTGCCAAATGCTGTTGATATGTCGACAAGAGCTCTCAAAGTAAAGTATTGAGAGAATTAGAGACTGTAGCTATAAGTGAACTTATTTGATGCCTTGGAAACTAAAGAAAGCTGGGATACTGTTGAGGCCATTTCAGTTACAGAAGAAAGAAGAAATGGCTTGACTTTGGGTTTTTGTTAGTCACACATAATGTGAAAGTCAGGATCAGACAGGTTAGACCTGATCCTGTAATTAATTACATTCTGATTGTACATGGTGACACCTCCAGCTTCTCTTTATAAGGGGCCTAGCCAGAATAAGTTCTGGAGGTACGCACAATTTTCCGCCTCCCCCAGTAAATCAATAGATCCCTCGTCGTTTCCAAGTTTCCTCTCCATCCAGTTCTTTCTTAACAGTAAGACGTGGAAGAATCATATAGGAGACGGATGTGCATGCAGGCCCATGTTCCCAGGGACCATGTCAGCTGAAATATGATATTTAGGCGGTTTGAAACAGCTAGAAATGCGTCTAAAATTAGCATTCTTCTTACAGATACTGGGGAAAATTTCAAGTTACTCATGATGAACAACTTACTTAGCCTTTTTAGCCCCTCATGAGGGTTAGTTTTGTTTAACGGAAATATTGGGAAAATAAATTGCCCATCCTACGCTGTCCGATCAGCCTTGACTTTAATTCATAGGAACTCACTGAACAGGTCCACTAGTTGATATTCAGTTAGAAGAAACATAAGAAGTACTTAATTTATAATGAAACTTCATACCTTAACAATGTCAAAAGATCGAAACGGAAAACACCGCTTTGATGGAGCTCAGAAAGCTGGCAACAGACATGGACAACAAGGTATCTTGGTGTGTTTCTATAATAAGCATTTTGCTTTGATTTAGCGATGAAAATAGCTTTTCATGCTGCAGTGATATTGCAAGTTGACTCTAATAAAAGCCGAGATGCGATCGGTACCACAATCCGTCAACTAAGGGCTCCGCTTTTAAAGCAATTTTACTAGCACTTCGCGTTACGTTCAAATTACCCTGTACTAAGTTTATAAAATGGTTGCTAAACAAACAACCAATGAAAATCAGGCATTATATTCAATTATTGTTTATTCAAAAAGTTTCTTCTTTTCTGATTGGCTCAATTCCCGCGGCTTATTCTTCATAACCAGCTGGCGTTGACCAAATTTGGAAGGAGTACTACAGACTAATTGCCAGAAAATAGACTGAAAACTGGGAAGCCTTTGATCGAGATTGCGTTGTTTTGGTGTAGAGAATTAAAAAACGACGGAAAATTTTTCACGTTTCGCAAAGAAAAAATAGCTGAACTATTGCCTAAAATCGTAGCAAGAATGGAGAATATCTGCAGAACTCATGATCTGCAGAACTGAACATCCCTCTAAATCCTGAACTTGTCGAGAAACAGGCAACTGAGACAACTGAAGACGGTCCTCCTCGGTTAATACCCTTCAAATCATATTCAGCCTCATTTGGTAATTGTTAATTAACGCACTAATCATCCAACAAAGAGGTTTCAAAATTTCACCCACAGCAGCACGAGGTTTGAATATTGATACAAAACGTACTGGACCCAAAAACTTGGATCAAATTACCAGACACGAGATAGAGACGAGAAACTTTAATTAACGGTATTTCCTCTTTTAGTCCTCTGGGCATTCTCTGTTTTAGTTCTTCTGAACTGGTGGCCAGTCAGGGAGGGAGGTTGCTCATTAGTAATTAGGGTTTTTAAAACTGGCCTATTGGCCTGCTAAGCCTCAGCTGACCATCTGTTCCATCCTCTCTATAAAGAGACCGAACAGACTTTGTTGCTGGCCCCGAAGATTATGTCTACGAACAATATTCACGTTTCCAAATTCCACAAGGATGATTCGAGTACTTGTTAATCCTGTGATTTAAACTCGTCTGAGAATGAGGCTTATCCAGTCGAGGTCGCCGAGAATCTGAGCAGATCTGACATCTCAACCGGATCCACTTATGATGTACAGTTGTTGCAATTTTTCAGGTTTTTGACTAAGTCCAGCACCAATATCCCCACACACAGCACCATGACAGTCGTGTAAGACAAAATCAACAATTTGTAAGCTGTTTCGAGACGTATTAGCCTCAGTCTCCTTAGCCAGGGCCGCAAATACTATTGCAACTTTATTGATGATCTCTTAAATATGAAAAAAAAAAGTACCGCTTCTTTCTATTGAGTGTCCCTATCAAGACAAATACCAGTTTCACTTGGGAGCAGTATGTCGCGTCTTATCTGGCGCCCCCGTAAATGGGCGTCACGTGTGGTCTTGACTACGTTATTTGGTTTGAGTGAGTCTTTGTTTCAGATTGCTTACGTCATAAATTAGGGATGAGAACAACTCTTTAAGGTTTTTAGACGCGTAAGCGAGGTTAGTGTCACCGGAGTACAAAATTTCTAAAAAGGGACAGTTGGCTACAATATGGCGTCATTGATACATAAATAGGAATATCAGGGGCCCGAAGATAGAGCCCTGAGGCACCCTGCAACCCTTCGCAAGTTCTTTCAGATTTGAAGTTGTTTATCGCTGTAACCTCTGCTGTATAAAATTGCCTGATTCTGAAGAGGTTTAATTTCGAATGTCCTTTTTAGCTTGATAAACAGAATGGCGTTTGTTAAGCCGTTTCTCGATATCTAAGGTGCCAAATGTTTGACATGTCGATAAGATCTCTCAAAGCAAGCGTTTAGAAACTAAGGGGGCACAAAGATGTTAGGTAGCACATTGTATTTGAAAAGTAGAGAATTCTGGGTCCGAAGGACCCACCAGATTGGTCTCTGTATCTTAAAACCAGAAAATGTTTCACGTAGCTGCAGAGACATCATTGTTTCAATGCTCTGGGAGATGAATTTTTATTTTCCACTTTTATGCGTGCATGTTTCGACTTTTTGGAGCAAAAATATTTGGAGGGGAGGGGGAAGGGCATCCCCGGCCCCTCTCCATGCTACTGGCGTGCAAAGTAAAGCATTGAGAGAATTAGGGACTGTAGCTATAAGTGAACTTGATGCCTCGGAAACTAAAGAAAGCTGGGATACTGTTAAGGCCGTTTCAGTGACAGAAGAACGAAGAAATGCCTTGACGTTGGGTTTTTAGTAGCCACACATAAAACTCAAAGTCAGGATCAGACAGGTCAGACCTGATCCTGTAATCAATTACATTTTGAATCTACGTGGTACCACCTCCAGCTCCTCTGTATCAGGGGCGTAGCCGGGTAAGTTCAGGAGATACGCGCAATTTCTCCCCTCCTCCAATAAAGCAATAGATCCCTCGTTGTTTCTAATTTTCCTCCTCCCATCTTCTTTCTTAACGGTAAGAGGTGGGAGAATACTAGGAGACAGGTGTGCATGCAGGCCCATGTTCCCCGGGAAAATGTGATTTTTACGCCGTTTGAAGTAGCTAGAGATGCGTCTAAAATTAGCCCTCTTCTTACAAATACTGGCGAAAATTTCAAGTTACTTCATGAACAACTTACTTAGCCTTTTCAGCCCCTCATGAGGGTTAGTTTTGTTTAACCGA